AAATCAGTTATATTCTGAAAAAAGTGAGGAAGCCTGGCCCCTGCAAGAAAACACCACTGAAAACATGTTGCTTGAGGGAGTTTAAGCCAACATTCTTATGTACAGCCATTAAAGGCAGTTAAAAGCAGAACTCATAGTTCTTACTCCTCATTGTTACATGGTGTTTTTTTTTTTTTTTTGCTTTTAGTTCTGCAAATGATCCCACGGACACAGACGCCCTGACATATGAAGAAGAAGAGAGAATTACCACAGCATTCCAGCAGAACAAACACACGACACATTAAACTCCTCCCTCGCTTTACATCATGGAAAAGACCAAAGGAGTGGAAGGCCGAATGCAAATGTGGAGCTTCACTTCTTGCTTTCTGTATAATTTACTAACAACTCCGCCGTGGTGAGAAGCTGCTCTGAAGGTCTTATCCATGTCGATATTTAATATTCATATTTCTGCAACAGGCTTAGTTAGTCACTATACAATAATAACCTTACTCAACATAGCCTCACCGGTAATGTGCTTGGAAGTAGTTTGCTTGTTTAAACATATTAATTAAAACAGAAAGAAGGAAGTTGTCACGGTGTGGTTCACTTCCTGTCTTATTTTGTAGTTTTCTGCCACTCGTGTCCCCGGGTAACTTCACTTCCTGCCTTGTCTCGTCATCCCCTGTGTTCGTCTAATAGTTTCCACCTGTGTCCAATCACCTGCACCTCCCTTGTGTATTTAAGCAGTGTGTCTCCTGTGTCACTTGTCGCGTCATTGTCTTTCGTCTTGGATCGTCGTAGTCTCTTGCCTGTGTGCGTTTGCCCCCAGTTCCGGTGTTTTTTGATCCTTGTGACTATTAAAGTCTTTTGTTTGCCGCAAGTCTGCGTTTGAGTCCTGCCTTCCACCCTCAACCCTGACAGAAGTGAAGCTACACTTTTGCACAGACATTTGCATTCGCCCGGCCGTTCCTTAGTTCATTTCCATTATGCGATAAAGCAGGCTACAGAAAGATCCATGTTGAAAAAACGCATTTGCAACTCATGCGACCATCGGGTGAGTCTCACGCAAATGGGAAGCGAGCAACAAACAAATACATACAAATCCACAAATAAATACACATACATACATAATGTATTTTGATCACAACAGAACTTCTGTTTCCGCTTTCGTACTGACCACATTTGACTAAGCACAATGACTGAGGACGGTGTGGCAACAGCAAATGTTCATTCCTCTTTCGACCGAACATCGGCGGACATAATCTACTCGTTAAACCAGGTACCCAGCCTATTCTTATTTCAAGAAATGTGATAACACTTTTGATTAATCTGTCATTTTTGTCTGGTTAAAACCAGTGTTGGGCAAGTTACTGAAAATGAGTAATTAGTTAGTTACTAGTTACCTCTTTTGAATGTAAATGAATAACTTTACCAGTTCCTGTATATCAAAAGTAATTAGTTTCTAGGGAAAGCAACCTTTAAGTTACTTTTATGTCTGCTTTAGTTGAAATGGGCCAACAAGTCTCATCTCTCACCTCTGACCAGTAGCCACAACATTGTACCTCAAGAGGAGAAGCTTCTCAAACTTTAGATCTGAGAGCCTATTCCTCTATGGAGAGAGAATCTGGTTCCCAGGGCTAAAGAGTCTTTCCAGCGGGGCACTGGATGGAGTGGCTGCATTATGTTTAAGTGATACTTTCTTCATTATGAGAAACTGATTCAGAGAGTCCATCCTCGCTGGTCCTGATTTAAACTAATCAGCTACTTCATTTTAAACAGAGACATAGGCGGATTTTGTCGCAGTTTACACTTATGCACAAAATGAGATCTGTTACGTTAAAGTGTTTTCTCGGACATGACACGTCCTTTTCTGGACGATCCTGTTGATGAAGAAGTTGTTTTACTTCGCAGGGTGTTAAACACGTCGGGAGAGAAAAATGAGGCCCGATTAGATATATTGTAATTTCCAGATTACTACTTGTTTGACTGGTTTTTCTTCACAGTGCATCAAATATGTACATAACCTCAACCGATTCAATACCATTGTTCCAGTTTTTACCAGCGATATTATTCTTGTGGTTAAATATGAGCATGGGTGTGTATGTCAAGCCTGTGTGTAGTGCATTCTCGACCTACATTTTCGCATTTTCTGTCTAAATAGCTGGAAAACGTCTTCCTGCACATTTGCCCCGAGTTTCCATTTATCGCTGGTATTTTGCTTATTAGTGGCCTCCACTGCGCACCGGGCCTAACACCCCCAAACTGTTACATTATTGGACGATAAAGTACAGCCTCTCGTAACTTATTGTTTTAGAAATATCTCATTTTAGTATTAAATTACTGAGAACTACTTTTAACCATAATTATTTTGTTTTCTAGGTGAGGAGTAATGGCGGCTGTTCCCGTAAGCTTTCGGTAAGAACCGTTTTTTTTCATGGGTAATTTAACTAAGCAGTCACATAGAAAAGGCAGGTGTATTTTGTGCAATCATTTTTAATTATCCAGCCCATGTTCACATATACCACAAGAATGAAGCTTCTAACAGTGTAAATGTGTGGATCGAAGAAGACACCAAACCGGACCTGGGGTCCGTTTCAAGTAGGAGGTTTAACAAACTCTGAGTCAAACCCTCAACTCTGAGTTTATTTACCCTGAGATGGGAAACTCTGAGTTTTGGTTTCAGAACAGCGTAAGATTGGCGCTCTTCAAAACCCGCCCTCTTTGCGCTTCCGCCTTCCGGTGTAACTGAGATGCCTTCCGTATGCCAGTGAGATTTCACTCACACACACAAGTGAGATTTCACTCACACACCAGTGAGATGCGCATGAGTGTTTCGAGTATTAGTACGCTTAAGAGTGTCTCAGTAGTTAAGTCCTAAACGGCCCCTCATACGACCAGGTGATGTTCACAGGCTCAGTTACCATGGTGACTGACCCTGAGCTTTAGTTACCTCCCTTTGTGAAACAGACAAGCCAGAGTTTCCTTCATCTCAGGGTTAACAAACTCTGAGTTTCCACTAAACCTGCTTCTTGAAACGGACCCCTGGATAATGTTCACATTTCTTCTGTGGAAATGTATGAAGATAACAACACACAATTTGACAGGACAATCTTTTATGTTTTGCATTTGGCAAGATTCATGTTGATATCAATAGATAGATAGATAGATACTTTATTGATCCCTCAAGAGGGAAATTTGGGTATCACAGCAGCATGTACAGGGAAGAAAATAGAATAAAAAGATACACATTATATACAATATAATAAGATAGAAATATTAAATTATTAAATTAAATTAAATAAACTAAAACTGAAACAAAACAATAACAATAGTTACTTCTCATGATTTGTACCATCCAATAATTCCCGTTGATAGTAGCATAGTTCCAGGGGCCATTTTGTTGATGTCACTAAGGGGATTCTTCAACTGTTATGCCCTGTAACCAGAACACCATCATGCCACTTCTCTTCTATATTCTGTCCATTGTTCCTACAAAATATTCTCAATATGGTCCAGTAAATACTGTCGAGGGTACCGACGCTTATTTTAGTTCTGTTCTTCACTTGACTGCAGGTCTGCAGATCAGCTGTTTACTGATCTTTTGACCCTGACAAAAGGACAGAAAGGTAAACTGCTCACACGCTTGCTTCACACGTTGTGCAGTCTTACTGTGATGAGTATTTTCCAAATTGAATCAATACTTTTGACATGTGTTGCAGATCCAGGCTACTCATCATTGATATTGAAGTTTGTGTACGAACACAGAGATGAAAGACTCTCCTTGAAGAACCCACCTGGTGCCACTTTGACGATTGGAAACTTCAATTCAACCATCTACAAAGGGAAGAAGAACATTCTCAATGGGTGGAACAAATTTTACCTTCCAGATATCGTAAGCATGCAGGTCTTGGGCGTGGTGACGGGGACTTCGTGCCCGGGGGACCATCTCGTTCTGATGACCTGTGAGGACGGACAGCTGTACGCCTACGATGGAGAGGAGCTGCATTTGGTGGCTGTAAGCGTGAAGCAGCTACGCAACAAGGGAATCGAGTATCCAGCAGACAAGTCGTACTACAAAGGAGAGGCCTTCCCGAACACGGTGAGAAGTTACAGTGATGTGCTACGAACAAATGAGTGATTCTGCACCCTGATGATTGGTCACCTGTGTGCACTGAGAATGTTTTCATATTTTAATATTGTCTTGTGTGTGTAACTCGGACTAAGGACTGGGAGGAAGTGAGGAAAAGCGCTGTTGGGAGGCGATTGGACCAAAAGCATCGAGAACTGGTGACCGCAAAAACGGCAGAATTCATGCAGAATCTCAAATCCATCCAAACAGGTAGTTTAGTCTGTGCTGCAAAGTAAAGATAAAAATAGTAGTTTTTCTGTTCTGCGTGTATTGATATCTCACATCAACCCACTCATACCTTTTCACGGCCTTTTCTCAATTTGCGTTCTTGTCTGGACGTGATCAGCCAGATCCAATTCTAAAGTCTGCGTCTCGCCAAGGATGCTCAAAATACCTATTGTGACTCACCCCGCCCATTAGAGGAGACTCGTCTTTGTGAGAGCAAAATATCCCAGAATGCATTTCACCTCAGCAACAGGCAACAATGGCAGAGGAGAGTAAACACAACTGTCACTCAATGGAATTTTAGGACTTTTTCAGAGCAGAAGTTAGTCACTTAAGCAACACTATTGTTGTCAGTGTGTCAACATTGAGCCTTCTATTAGCTCCAGGTTGTGGGAGATGTGAGGTGTAGTTAACGGGACCGTCAGACCCCTCAGCCTCATCTCACCCCGCAGAGAGCAGCCTGCTCCGCTGGTGTTCACGTCTCCGTTATACATGAGATATAACTAGGCTTGTGTGTTCACAACCTTTAATTTATTCAGTTACGTTGATAAAAACCTAATGTTTTTATTGTACCTTACTGTCTTGTCTGTATCCACATCCAGGCTTGTTATTGTTTATCATTGTGCATTAAAACTAACAATGTTTGAATCAAAGGACATGAGGAGACCCGGGCAGTCATCAAGAACCAGCAGCAGGACGGCAGCTTAAAAAGGACTCTGGACTGTAACAATGATAAAGCAGCGATGGACGGGTGGGCACGTTGGGACACCGGCCGGACGGCTACAAGCGCGGGCAAGAACACATCCGGGAGTCTGCCAAAGCATCCGCGAGTTGTTGTTGTCTAGTTAGATAAAGTCAGTGAGTTGGAGAATAATCTGAAAATATTTAAAACTACGAATAAATTAATCAAACACATAACCTATTTTTCTTAATTGTTTGACAATGTACAAGTTCAAGACAAATATACTGAGGTTAATTACTATATTCAGATCATAAGAGGGAAAAATATAGAGGGACAATTAGTAGAAATTTCAATAACTGTCACTTTTCACTCGTCACTTTTCACTCGTCACTTTTGTCACTTCCTGTTGGCTAGTGCACTTTATTTTTTTATTTTAATTATTTTTTAACTTGTGTTCTTTTATTTTAAAATAACTCATAGCATTACGTTTTAATTTTACTACTCACGCACTGTTATCGTCTATTGTTGTACTGTCTGCTGTTACGCACCAACCGCCAAATCAAATTCCTTGTATGTCTGACATATTATGGCAATAAATGTTTCCTGATTCCTCCATTTATTGCTGTTGATTGTTTTATCCTGTAAAGCAGTTTGGCAGACCATTGGCCTTTAAAAGTGCTATATAAATAAATATATAAATGAGACACGCTTTCAGTATTTGATACAAATACAAACATATCAAACTGTTGGTACGCCTCCTTCACAATGAGCGTAAGCTAGTGACGAGTCTTAACGAGGGATCTCATCACGTGCTTCGTTGTCTTAGAGGCACAGACGCACCACCAGATGGCAGCCCAACCTTTCTCCTGATGAAACAAGTGATCCACCTCACAGGGAGCTTCTTCTACCACCTTCACCTCCGGCAAAACACAACAACAGAGACAAGACGCTCAGAGGAGAGACAGGAATCAGAGAGCAGCAGGAAGAGCAAATAACTCACAGCCATCCGTCATCAGGTCTCAACTTCTATCAGTGTGAGGCTGATACGCCGTCTGGCTTCTGAGGAAGTCAAAGGCCGCAGATTCACACAAAACAAAGAACTTTTGACCTTTGTTTTCACAAACATTTGACTAACTATGGTCAAAGGATGAAACTCAATGTGGACTAATGAAATACCCCAAATATCTTCGGTCGATATCGAACTGTATCCTCATTGCTGTACTTGCGTTTTGATTCTTGCCATTTCTGCATACATGACCTCAGAGACTCTTTCCATCTCTCCAGTAACCTGCTTGCTTACAGCTGCACACACACACAGCAGTGGAATGCTGCATCTCACATGCGTGCACACGCAGATAAACACACACATGTGGTTGCGGTTGGACTGGAATATTTTGCCCTCGCTGTTTCGCGTCTGTAAATTCTGAGTCATGCTGGTTTGACAGATCGTCTCTGATGTAATGTCGCCTTTGTTTAATCACTCTGTAACGCTTTAAAGCCCTTTTGTAAGAGAAACAGATGCTCCAATAATTAACAGTCATCTGTGAGTGCGCTTGCTTGTATGATTAACTGGTCAACCAGCTGTGCTCACTCACTCTCTAACTAACTGGTTGTACAATCATTCACCAAGCACAAGCATCGGTGACTAATACTGTAACATTCCACCGGTTGCCTTTAGCTGAAGGATGCATTTACCAGATTTCCTGCACGTTGCATGTACGACAACACAAACATGATCTACAGAAGCTTTGTAACTGAAAAGGTTCACTTTAGCAATAGACACGCTAACAAGACGACACAGGCTAACGTCTTTAAAGAACTTGTGTAACTTCATTAGCGATATATATTTGCATCCCTTGTTGTAGATTTCTGTCATTTAAATACATTGTGGCCATTGGAACAGATTTGATTCCATTAGTGTCTGTTTGCGTGGACCGGCGCCTGGACCACAAGACGCTTCCCGGTCACGAGGAGCTGTGAACATTCTAATCATTAGGACTGCTGGTAGGCGGATTTTGCACAGCTGTGGTTTCCAGTCGTGCTGAGCTAAGCTAAGCTAGCTAGACCTGGGTATTGCTTCACAGGCCCATAGCGCATCACGCCTTCGCTTCTGAGAAGTTCTCAGGAGCCACACGATCCTTCGTTGGTTGTCACTCTTCAGAGACCTGCCAGTTTAGTTAATGCCAAGCTCTTCCTGTAATGTACCACCGAATAATCAGCATTCTTGTTTGGGTGTAAACACAGTGGACGACAGGAGGGCTGCGTTTTCTAGTTACTGGCTGTTTTGTTGTCGTTGGGACATTTTGAAACAGGCCAGTGCTCAGTAACCACGTCCAGCGTGGCTAACAATAGCTTCCTGCGGATGAATACTTGTGTGTGTGTGTGTGGGTCACGTTGGTGCGTCTGTCTGCAACCACTGATCCAGAATGCCGGGCAGCAGAGCAGCAGGGGGGCCTCGAGGAGGCCGCTGACTCCGGATCACCACTTCCCATCATGCTGTTCAGTTATGGCCACGTCTGTACGGGTGACTCAGCAAGACCTCGAATGGCATTTTCATGTCGCTGCTTTGCAACAAAGAAAGGAAAGCAACACAATGCTCCTGTGTGTGTGTGTGTGTGTGTGTGTGTGCATTGAAGAAGCCGGGCCTTCCCCACCAATCAGTGACCAGCTGTCTCTAATGGCCTCTAATGAAGACGGCGAGTGTCTTCCGTTTTCCTGCCCTCACGCAGTTCTATTTTTACGACCTCGTGCGCGTGCCGTTCTCACGCTCTCTCACAGAGTGACGGAGCTGCTGTTTTTTATTTCACGCAGCATTCAGCCTCCGGGGCAAGAACAATGTGAGACGCGAGTCTGATTGCAGCGCTAACTGGGTGGAGGAATACCTCTCTGCCCAATAAAACCCGACATGAAGTCATTTATAAAGTGTTGGAGCTGGAGCACACAGGGAACTGACCAGCATCGGTGCCGGTCTTATATAACAGGCCGCATACAGAGCCAGTGGGCCCCGGCCCTTGTGAAGCTGTCATCTGCTGGAGTAGTGAAACAATGGGAGTGAAGGGTGAGAGATAACGGCGTTCTACCCCTGCTGAGATAATAACACTGGGCTATATTTAGGGGCTTGTTTGGTAAATGCGTATGTGTGGTTAAGTGGCAGTGCACGCTGGGCACAGCTCAAAGATCCCAATTTCCACATTCGAATGCGAAAATCCCGTTCGAATGCACAGAGATGTCAAACAAAAGGCATTAGTGGGTGATTTAGTTTGTTCACGTCCACATAATGTGATGTTTACCTCACGCCGATCGGAGGGGGGATGGTGGCTCTGAGGTTGTGTTCACAATCGCGCACACGTCTGTTACTCACAGTTACATTTGACCTTTTCCTAAAGCGACATTGTGGCCTTTGACCCCGTGCTGCAGGGCTGAAACAGACCCCTCATTAAACCACCGCCAGAGCTCGCCTGCAATGAAAACAGCTCCGGCCCGAGCGGCAGAATGACGACTCCTCACCGCAGTCTGGGGCCAGCTGATGCATTTCCAGGAGGAGCGATAGGGCTGCTAATTCCCCCCCCCTGCCCGTCTGGAGCATTTCTATACAGCAGCACACTACTGCTGCCTGTGTAAATATATAGAGGAGTCCTGTTTATCTGAGCAGAGAGGACAGATGTTACTGCTGGGAGCCCCACTGGTTAACTCGCGGCCCCATCGACGCCGCAGCACCCGTCCTGCCCCCCTCTCTTTTTAGCTCCTAAGGGGAATATCTGACCTCATAGCTGCTAAACGTTCCACTATGTTCACCCGCTAATCGCTGGCCTGATGGCAGAGTCAGTAGTGCACAGTGGCTTTCTTGAGCGAGCGCAGCTGTTCGCTGAGTGAAGCGAGTCGGAAAAGTGCGTGACCGACCGACCGGTCGGTGCACGTTGAGCTGGAGCTCATCACGAAGTAAAGGATCATTCCCAGTAGGATCATTGTCACGAGTGACCCCTTTCACATAACTGTCACATTGTAATTTGATTCATAGTTGTATTAAAACTTGTCTTCCGGTTGTTTTTTTGTTAATTTTCTGAGTAACACGAAGCTGCACTCTGTCGATGTTCTGCACGTCGTCAGCAGGGTTTAGATCATAAACTCACATCTCGCTCTGCAGGTTTGACCTTTTACGGCCACTTTAAACGTAGTCCTGCTGTGCTCTGACACGGCATTAACCTCAGAAATGACTCATTCAGCTGCATGTTCCACCGGGGGCTGCGTTTAATATTAATTTGTGAAATGACTGAGTCAATGCCGCTGAAATGACTTGATCACGCGTTGTTTTTCATGTCTGTTGAGGTGCACTAGATGTCCCTGTTTTACCCGCAATGAGCTTTGCCACACTAACTAATTAAATTTGCTTTAAAGGTCTGAAACTCACCGCTGATTTTTCAAAATGAAAACAGTTTTCTCACAAAAAAGTAAACCATAATAATAACAATTGTTAATAATTAATTAAATACTTAATAATTCAAATTGAATTGGTGGAGTCGACCACACTTTATTAGGTAGTGATTTAGATCAACAAACAATTACGTTATTGTAAATTAGCTTATATTTGATGATTTGATGATAAGGCCTCACGTGCAAACTATAACTTATAATACAAAAATCCTTATTATTTTAGGTGATCAACTTGGTGAGATGTAAATCTGAATTATTTTTTTTATCCCATTTACCTTCGGACTGCCCCCTAAAAATAAGCACATTAATTAAAGCAATTATTGGTGAACATTATTTCTCCGCATGCGTGTTCAGCATTTACAATGTTCATGGTGTTGTGCGAAATGATCCGTGTCACCCATAACGTGGTCGTTGGTTTTGCAGTTGATCGCCTGCAGGCCAGCGAGCTCTTTGGATGATTTACCTCCTCCGTGGACTTTTCCACCAGACGCAGTTAGAACATGGAATATCTGTTTGCTTTATCTCTCGCTGCTCTTCTCTGCGCTGCCAGACCCGTTTGAGTTCCCCTGTGTGGTTTAATGGACGCTGAGCTCGGCCTTGACCTAAACAAATGGGGTTTAGGTTCTGGGAGTGTTGCTATTAATATCCCGTCAGTCTTTTGGCAGCGGACAGCTGATACTTAAAGAGGGGGGGGGGGGGGGGTGGCGGAGACGGATAGGGAGGAACTGCCCGCCTCGCTGGTGCACGGGGGGGGGGTCCCCACCTTTATAGATTCACCATCTGCAATTACACAGCAGCCTTTCCAGTGGGACGGCTCGCTTCAGCCACGTTGGAGTTGTTGCTCCAGTCTTGTCCAGTCACGCTGGTAAAGTGTTGATTTGGATCCATTACCAGTGATCGTTTGGCGGTTGTGGGTTCCTGCATTCCTGGCATTTGGGATACGATTGCGATCCCGGCTGTAATTCAGATGGATGTCCCTTGTCTAAGAATGTGACCTCCTGATGACAGGTACAAATATATTCATGGTTTTATCGCACCCTAAAGCCTCATTTGCCATCCTCACAGGCGGTTTGTTGTTTTTCCATGCCAGCCTCCCTCCCTGGGATGGTTCTGCCCGGCTCATTATTGTAAATACCCCGGGAGGCACGATGCAAACATTCCTGGTGATTTAGCCGAGGCGATAAAAATAAAGTCCCTCAAATGATTGTTGCACAAGTCTCTTTTTTTGCAAGAAAAGGCTTGCAGGTGCAGGAAGAACTTTCCTCCATCATGCTATCGTTACTGAAAACGGGGTGGGGGGGGGTTGTGTTCCCTGCTTTCTCGGTACTCTATTCCCGTCGTCCAACGGAGCCCCGAGCCAGATGGAAGGGCGGCGTTCCACCGCGCGCCGCTCCAACCCAAACATCTGCCTGGCAGCGGCCGAGGCCTTCTCGGCTGAGAGGAAACACAGGCCCGCTCTGTGCGAGGCCGTTAACAAATGGTTCCTCTGTTTGATCGGGAAGAGCTGCGACGCACCGCAGGGGGGAGACGATGTGTGGCTCTCGGAAGTGGTCCAAGGAAGGAGCGTCCGTGGCCTCGTCCAAGGGGGGTCTGAGGGGACGTTTTTCAAGCTTCTCGGGTTGTGTGTGTGGTGGTCAGCACACCCGATGCTAGACCCTCCAAGGAATCTTCGGGTATCCGTAGCAGGTCACTCGTGGTCACAAAGCAGAGATGTGTTGTGTTCCCCTTCGGCCACAGGGAGCATTTTCAGCTTCTCTCGCGTTTTGGGTTTTTACGACCAGCAGATTCGGCTTCCACCAACCTCTTTTCCAGAAGCAGCAGTCGGCTGTATTCAGAGAACAAGTCTCTTTAACCGTACAGCACCTGCTCGGCGGGGACTTTTTTTAGGACTCGCAAAGCAATCCGAGCATCCTCCGCCGCCAGCCGGCGTCTTTGTCGCTTACTGGATTCCCAGAAAGAACAAATGATCCCGTTGCGACGAACCACCCTGGGTGCAAAACACACACCTTCCATCAAACCCAAATATTCAAAAACCTAAAACGTCCGGCATCAGCCACCAAAAGAGCCTCGAGGACCTCACACCTTGTGGAAGAACATTGATTGACGGATGAACGGCTCCGGAGGTCTGCGAACGGACACAACAGTCGTATTATTGCCGTGTGGGTTTCAGCCAATTGGCCTGTTTGCATCTACTTTTGGGGGCACGATGGAGACAATGTCCAAAACCGAGGAGGGGAAATATTTTAACGAGCATCACAACGATAATCATGGTGAACTAGGCGCGTGAGGGGCGAGCTTTGGGAGTTATAATGTAACACTCAGGGACTCACGGAAGCTGCGGTTGCGTGTGTTTTTACGGAGGTTGGTTTGAGGTCCGTGTGAGCGGCTGCAGACGCTCGGTGGCTCCGACGTACCAGGCAGCCACAATGAAAAGAATGTGCTGTTATTAGTGGAAAAGCTCCTGTTATGTGGATTAATCTACAGCTTCGACTTTGATCTCCTCTCTGAGCGACTTTGGAGGGCCATTTCTCACACACACACACACACACACACACACACACACACACACAGAGCGAGTGAGTCAAATAACGTCCATCATGAGTCAGATAATCGAGGTTTAAAGGAAAATTTCCAGAAAATATATTTTTTTACTTTGAAATTTAATGTAGATTTTGTGTCAAAATAAAGGCAATTAAAATGTACTTGTTGGCGTGTGTGTGTGTGTGAGTGTGTGTGTGTTTTGTAATTCACGGCTTATCGACATCGAACAAAAATCTCTGAATAATAACACACTTTTCCAAGCTTTTAATAAGAGTTAAGCTTGTAATGTAGCTGCTCTATTATACCCCAATCTCATGTGGGGGCCAACAAATTATTTTGTCGCTAATTCAGATTTAGTGATTTAATGATTTAGTGATTAATGCGATGAATTAGTTTAAAACAAGACAACCACGTTGACGCAGTTCTTTTCAAGTGGAAATCAACAAAAGCACTGAACTAGTATAATTGTTGGCTAATTTAGGGAAGATATATTTATATATATAACATTATATAACATTAACTTAGAAAGCGAAACTGTGAATCTCAGTGTTACATATAAATTGTTGTATGGGTGCTTTGGCGTTGTACACCATCACAATGGTCGTGCGTATTTAAGTCAAGTCAAAGGATTACCTGAAATTCCCACCCAAGTCCACAGTGGAGACATTTGCTGTTGCCATGGGTTACCGGACATGGAGACATCGGCAGCTCACTCGGAGCGCCGCGGCAGGGATGACGCGGACAATCCCGCAGGGGTCGCCGGTGACCCCGGAGTCACTCTCTGAACTTCTAAAAACGGGTCACGAACGCGTGAAGTTTCGGGACGCAACCGCTGTGTGCGTCTTTCTCGAAATCATCGAAACGCACACTCAGACCGCTCCTCAGCCTGTCGTGCGTCCCAGTTTCAGCATACTAGACGTGGTATTTGCAACTGGAGAGAATTTAGCCCCTAGGGGACGGGGCCGGGGGCGAGGACGGGGGGGGGGGGTGCCTGTGTGTGTTTGTGTGTCCGAGTTGACCTCCTGTGACCTGCAGAGACCCAGACTCCGACACATCTGTGCCAACAGTGTCCGGTCTCAGGGTGGAACTCTAACGCAGGAGTCACGGTGTTCTCACAACGCGGCGCGCGTCCGTGTGTTTGTGCGTCTGAACCCGTCGCAGTGGGAAGCTTCAGGCTGTTCCTGTTGTGCATTGCGTAACCCTGTTTGCACCAAACCTGTGAACCTTTAGAGCCTTGCCGGTCAGGCCGCGGCCTTTTAAAGGGCTGCAGGAGGTGCTCGTCTCCTTAAGGCTGGTGCTCCGGGATACCTACCAGCACACAGGGCCTTGTGTTCGAGTCCATGCCACTCAAACAGACCGCTAATGCTCCCAAAGGCTTTCGGACGAGCCTCTAGCGTTGATTTAAAGGAAGTGAGAGGAAGTTTGTTCCAGGCGAACGCTGCATAAGTGCAGAAAAAACTGTGCTCTAACCTCAAAAAGACCATCAAATGGCGATTAAAGTGTTCAATCTGACCGGTGGTCACAGTCCGTACTTAAATGAGTACAAATACTAAAAGTGCTGCACTCAGAGAAGCTCTGTAAAGTGAGTGTAAACACTCCCACATGATGGCCCGCGTTTGTTTTTCTAGTGCACCTCCCGCTGTTGGCTTTGGAAACAAAGGCCTACGTGGAGCACTGACTCTGGAAATAGCCCGTACCTTTGACCTATTTAGAGAGACGACTCTTTTTTTTTTTTTTTCCCCCGGAGAAACCGGTAGAAGCTTCAAATCCGCGCGGCCTTGGGCTCCCGTACAGCGTGTGCAGGCTCATGTTGGGGCTTGGCAGGCTTGCACTTGTGCATAAGCCGGCTGTCAGACACGTCCGCGGGAGTTGTGCGCTTAAATGAAAAGCTGGTTTTCAAATAAAGTACCGTCTCTCTCTCCCCCCGACTGGATCCTCTTCTCACGGCCTTCGCCTTATCTGCTGCGAGTGCGGAAACCCGACGTCGACATTCACAGGGGTCAGAAGAAGAGTCGTGGCTGCCACCGAAAATTAAAAAAAACAAAAACACACTAATGCCTCAAATTCACTAAATGGTTCAGCTGGACTCGGCCTCACTCACTCGATGGGAATGGAACATATGCTGCAGGCCGCAGTAATGTGCACAGTGTAGCGCTGCAGTGGTGAAACCAGATGGATGGATGACTCTCACCACTGTGTCACAGAGAGGACACCACCACCCCCCCCCACCCACCCCCTTCTTCTTGAAGCATTAAAGTCAGGTATTGAACACGCTGCAAAAAACGTCAGCCTAGAAGCCAAGAAAGTGGTAAATGCACCAATGGGTGAGAGGCGAGCACGGTTGTCCTCTAGAGGGTTGTCGGTTCGATCCCAGGCTCTGCTACCCCGCATGCCGTTGTGTCCCTTGGGCAAGACACTTAACCAACACGCCTCCTGTAGCAACTGCGACTACAGTGCGTGATTGTTGGTTACTGGTGTGCAGGTGTCACTGTGTGTGGTTCTCCTGTCTCAGTGTGTGAATGATGTCATGTAGTGTTAAAGCGCTTTGAGTGGTCAGAAGACTAGAAAAGCTCTATACAAGTACAGTCCATTTACCATTTACCATTTATATATATATTATTATTGTGTAAATACTAAATTATTGTAAGGCGCGTGTTTGTGCGCGTGTTTGTGTGCGTACGTGCGTCCCAGCGTCGCGCGAGGTTAGAATCAGCTGGTCGACGAGGGCACGTGGAGAACGGCGCGTGCTTGCGCGTACGTGCGCGTAGGTTCCCACTCGGAGGGAGGGGGGAGGGGGCGGGCCGAGCTGCGGACAACGGGGCAGCGCACGGAGCTCCCATTGGAGGAAACAGTGTGCGCGGAGATCCGGACGAGGACGGTCGCAGCGCGTCCCGGGACACGGTGAGTGATCCCGTAAGCGCCGTCGCTCCTTTCTCACGCAGCGCGGGAGGAACGTGCGTCCCGTCCGCGCTGCGTCTCGGTCCCTCGTGCGCAGGAATGCGGCGGAGGGGACGCGCGCGCCGTCGAACCCTCTGCAGGGAGATGTGAGGTGTTGTTGACTTTGTGACGCTCCCCAGCTTTGCGTTCTACTTTCTCGCACTACTTTTTTTTAATGCAAACATAAAAACAACAACAACAACAACAACCTGCAGCGGCTTCTTCATCTCCTCGCTGTAGATGCACTTTGGTTTCTTCCGCTAATTGCTGCTTCGTAAGGGAGCTGAACCCACAAGCATGTAAAGAACGGCTGCATTAAGGAGGATACTGTGTGTGTGTGTGTGTGTTGAAGCTCCATTAGCTGTGACCAAATGTAGGCTAATCTCTGCATGCTGCTAAACGTCCTGCTTCCTTCCTTCCTTCCTTCTTGGTGCACAAAGAAGACTTTGGGTCTGTTACGGATCAACATTAAGGCCTTTAAGAGGCTCTGAGTGGGAGAATTTAACTACTGTTGTGTGTATGTGCACGTGGCTGCAATGTCCTTAAATACTGCTTGCATTTTATTTTTTTTGTTTAGAAAATACAGTTAATCGGTAAAACACACCTGTGGTTATTTCTAGAGATATGATGTTTGTTATCTGCACACACACGAACACACGCGCACGCACACACACACACTCACACTTGTGGCAACAAAAGGTTTCTTCATGCTCGATTCAACACTCTAGGTCTCCTCTTATGACCAGTAAATGACTCCCTTTCTCTGCAGGAGGAACCACAAATGTCAGCAAATGTCAATCCCTTGCAGTTTACGCTTTGCTTTCAGGCGTATTACCCCCCCCCCCCCCCACCCCTGAACACGCACACACGCGCACGCACACACGATCAGCACAGCCTGTCCTTTTGGCCAGCTGTTTGATTGGCGTGAACACACACACGCAAGCGCATGCAAGAACGTGTGAGATATAAAACCGTGGTATAAAAAAAAAGATAGTGTGCCATATATCAGCAATGGAGAGGCTGTGTGTGTCTGTGTGTGTGTGTGATGGTGCACACACACACACACACACACACACACACACATCTAGACGCAGATTCTCAGTCAGCAGAGCGACCTAAAGATAGCAGAGCCCCAGTGGAGACAGTAATTGGTGGGGTGAAAGGAGAGGGAGGGAGACGAGGAGGGGGAGCAGGAGGGGGAGGAGATATTGTTCGAACCATCTGATATCTGTTATATAATAAACTATACAATGGAGACCTGCTGGGAGAGAAACCGGCAGTCCAAGAGTGAGTGGAGCTATTTAGTGAGAAATGCTTTCAGTGTGTGTGTGTGTGTGTGTGTGTGTGTGTGTTTGTGGATTCAGTTGTCTGCTAAAAAATCCATTTCAACAAGTCATTTCTTCCTTTTTGGGAGCATTTGTGTTATTGAGTTGAGCGAATTGGCTTCATGTCTCTGAAATGAGTTTTCGGAAAACCTCAATTTGCATCCAGTTAACAGACGACTAAATGCTGAACAGCTCGACTTTTTGCGGAGTGTGCCCCCCCCCCCCCCCCAACCTCCCTCTAGCCCCCCCCAACCTCCCTCTAGCCTCCCCCTTCATTCTGCAGGTGGTGAGTGGTCTTGTGTTGCCAGCTTGGAGGGGGTTTCTTATTTAGCCTTAGGCCCCCAGGCTTTGTTTAGCCGTGTGTGTGTGTGTGTGTGTGTGTGTGTGTGTGTATGTGTGTTTTCTCTTCTGCAGAGAGGGATGTATAGTTTTGTTTTGTCCCTTGTCTAAAATAGACACCCGTTTTTTAAGAAAGTTGTTGAACTCACACTCACCTGGTGATGATTATTTCATTGTTTCCTCGCATGCTTTAGATTATTTTCACGTTCTCATTCAGTTAATGTCGTGATCTCTGTCTTGGTGTCGATTTTAATGCTTCTTTTCCATCGCGTGTCCACTCAGGATCAGGGTGCTGGCGGGACCACAGGCCGGGAACGCTGAAGGAACACCATGGCCTTAGCGGGATGCCCTGACTACTTCCTTCATCACTCAAACTACCAGGTGAATACAAGCGTGTTGATCACGCGCACGTTGTGGTTTAGTAATGCAGGAAAAGCACCGGTGTCACTGATCACTTTAACGACGACTCGGCTCCTTTTAGCTCAGCGGGCTGCGAGTCGGCATAAAACCAGAAGATCTCAGTGGGATATGATGAGTTGCACCTGTAGTGGCCCGCGTTCATGGCCAACCACGTTGGCGCCTGTTGCTATGGCAACCATCGAGCTCCTGGGTGCCCTGTTAGGTTTAGGCACCAAAACTACCGGGTGAGGTTTTAGGAAAACATCACGTTTTGGGTTGTAAAGAATTAATCCACTTCTAATCGCATTTAAAAAAAAAAAAAAGGAAGGGATTTGCATTTTGGATCTCCAGACTTTTTAAAAATCATCCTGGATCAAAGGAGGGATTTGGGCTTGTAGTCTGAAAGATGTATGAAAAGGGTTTTTAACCCCATAACATTAGGAGCCCAGAAAAAATGGAGGTTTGCTGCTATTTGAGCCGTTGAGAACGGCAACGGCGTTAATTAGGCCTCAAAACCTCTGAAGGGCGAAGCCAAGTCATTGTTCTGCAAGGAACTCTCTGCACTCAGGTCCCAAACCGAGACCTGAAGTCCTGAACTGTGATTTTTCAGTCCTAATAGAGTCGTGATGCGCTCTTCACTAATGCCATCTCTCCCTGCATGCTCACACATTTTGTAATCCACAGTTCATTGTTTTATTGATCATTGGAAAGTTCAATTATGCAGCCAATATTATCTTTAGTATAATTTTTCTTCAATCGCTGCTCAATAACTTAATGCTCCTCCTGTGTCGTGATTGGATGCTGTCTGATTGGCTTCAGCAAGGTGTCATCATTCTTTCCATGAGTGGCGTTTGATTGGTGCGTGAGCGAGGCCACTGGCTTCGCAGTGAGCGACTCCCGGCCCAGTCAGGTGAAACATGGCGTCCGTGCAGCTCAACAGACCCACATCTCTGTTGAGCTCCTGCAAAATGAGCCCTTTGTTGCTGCGCTGGGATTTTCTCCAGCACAACCCGCCAGTCACCTAAAGAATTTGGCTAAAAAGCACCGTGTGGGTCTATAAATAGAGCGCTGAACAAACAACATCAGCAAGCCGTGGGCTTTGTTGCGCGATCGATTTGGCGCGGCGTTTCGCTGGTGACGGAAGCGGTGGAGGAACTTCAGCTCCCTGGTAAACCAAACCGTGGGACCGCCGAGCCCCGGCGGGGCTGACATGAAGTTGGATTGGTTTCGCGTTGGCTTCCAGGAAAGCGTTTTGCACCAGTGAGACGGCAGTGAATAGTGAATCGAATCCCCACAGAAAACCACATTCCTCCACACTGCATCAAGCGGGGAATAAAAACACGGTTTTAATAGTCCGAGGAAGGGAAAAGTGGGTTACAACATTGTGTGTGCGTGCGTGTGCGTGTGTTACGTAAAGTTTGCTCGTTGACGTGATACAGCATGACACACACACACACACACACATTACCCCATCTGTAAGCAGTCACTGTAGGTTTTAGTGTGTGAAGAAAAGAAGCAAATGAGCCCTTGTTTCTGCATACTTGCATAACGCTATACATAACTGGGCAGCGTTTCAGGCCTGTGTGTGTTTGTGTGCGCGTGTGTGTGTGTGCGTGCATCTTTGGTGAGAACGTTAGAGCTCTGCCAGAAGTGTGTCGTCGGAGCCAGCAGATCTTTTCCCTGCGAGCTCCTTGCACACTAGTGCTCATGTGCGTCTGCAGGAAGGAATCCTGCGCAGCGCAGAAAGTCCGCCCCCCCCGGACCGTGTGCGTTCAGCGAACGCGGGCTACAGTTCTGTATTTATTTACCGAGGGGGTCAGAGGTCAGCGGCTTTATGCGGGAGGGGGGGGGGGGGAGCACGGGCGCGCTTTGGAGGAGGGCGCGGCGTCGATTCTCCGAGACGGTAATGCGGCGAGCTGCGCAGTGGAAGGGGAGACGTTTCTACTGACGACAAACAGATGTCAAGACGATCCAGAAAAACCTGAACGCGTCGAGCTGATCGAAGCTTCGGGCCAAAGGTTTTTTCTGACTGCAGGGGAAAAAAAGAGCCCGGCCCAAACAGATTTTTGTAAGACAAGAAAAACCTCAGTTAAAACCAAGGGGGATCATAGAGGGGATTTAAACTGTATATCATGTATGTAATGATGGCATTCTGCTCAAACTGCCACCAGATCCTGACGATGGTGCATGAGTCAGAAAGAAATAAAAAAAAATCCGGTTTCACATATAAATAAAGATGATGTCACTGCATTGCTTAAATTCCTTCCCGCAAATGTTTTCAGAAACATTATATAATAAACTGTTGGTCCGTGTTATCGTCGAATTAAGCGAATGGCGGACATTTGAGTTGTCGATAGTCCCTTTTTATATATGTACAGAGACCAGACCAAAATCAACACGCAGAAATGATAGACGGTCCACTCTACAAACAAGAACATTCCCGACATATTTATGCCTAAATGATGTTATTTGGAGTGTAGCTTGAGCCACTTTAATGTTTGCATAGCCTTGCAGCGATTAATCTGGTAACTTCTGTTTGGAATGCAGCCGTTAAAGAGAAACTTTTACTGTACGAGGGCTGCAGGGGGAGCGGATTTGCCCTGGACTTCTAATAACGCTGCGAGTATCGTTGCTCCTGCCTCTAACTACACACCATGTACACAATTACCCTCTTGTGTCCACAAGAAGGTAATCCCAGACTATTGCTGAGTGTGCTGAAAGAATGACGACGGCCACACCCATGTAAGAGATGTAGCCTACTTAATTAATGTATTTATCAAGTGGATATTCTTATCACAACTCTTCTCAGTGATAGGATTTTTCCACTTGTTTTATTTATCCAGATCTGGCAGCTTTAGTGCATCTAGTAGAAATATGTCATTGCATAATTTGTATATTTACCATAACACCGCCTGACGTATCTGGTCTGTTAATGAGTAAACATATCCGAGGGGGGTTTGGGAGAGAGTTGTTGTAGCTGACCGCTTTAGCTGATGTCTGCAGACTTTCCCTTTCAGCACACAGGCCTTGCAGCCAAGTTGCCTTCCTTGGAAAGCTTTTGGCTGCTGCTTCTCAGAGCTATAAATCTCACTCTGGGCATTTATGGATGTTTTCGAAGCACAGAGTGTAGCTGTGAGTATATATTTCTCTGTGTGTGTGTGTGTCTACGTGCACAGCATGAACCCAGGCCACGGGCAGTTTCCTGGAAGCATCTTTTCCTCGTTTTTCCTTTTCCTGGAAAAGGGAAGGTTGAAAAATTTGTTTGGCTTTCTTCACTCCTCTTCTCCACTGCGGCTCTCTCGCCCGGAGGCTGCTTCAAATTAGACAACATGTGAGGAACTTGGCAGTGTATGAGTGTGTGTGTGAGTGTGTGTGTGTGTGTGTGTGTGACTTGTGAGATTGCATAAGTGTTCCTGATCTTGTATGTTTTTGCTGTTAAAATGGCCCGATCTGTTGTCTTTTTGAAGCATACTAATCAGTATCTGGGGGTAAGTTTCCCATGGGGCGGTTTTGTGCGTGTGCGTGTCTGTGTGCGTGTCTGTGTGCGTCCGTGCGTGAATGAGAGAGAGCCGGGTTCAGAAAGTCACCGTTCAGGCTTTAAGTTTCACTGACCTCTGAACTGGAGGCTTGATGTTCCTCGAGAGCAGAGCCTTGAACCCGCCCTCTGCACGACCCTGTGAACCCTCCACTGAAGTATCTGACGTGTTAAACCCGCCGCTTGCGTTTTACGACGCCGCCTTTGCCTTTAATCCACCTTCTGCTTGTCCTTTGCCCTTTTTTGACAGGAAAACATGGACCGCACTTCCGCCCGCCGGCCCGAGGAGCTGATTGTTCCAGGCTTTCAGCGCTCGGCCAATCAAAACCTGCCACATCACCATGGTAACCGTCCTCTCCTCATCCGACCATGTCAGATCTGTTTTGGGGGGGGGATGCAAATATGAAACGATGAAATACGGCTGTTATCCCGTCTTTTTCTACTCCCGATGTCGTAAAAGATGACACCGTTCTTTCCATATTTCACACTCTCCATTTTATTTTCCACAGCTTTCTTTATGGGATCTCAGCAGCACATTTGCTGGCCGACCGAATGTTCCTACGGTGTTCCTATAAATCCCCCCCCCGCTATCTTCGTCTCCATCCAGGACATTGTCTCCCTTCATCACTGCCGGCTCTGCTGCTCAGAGGTTACAGACAGGCGTTGAAATGCCGCCTCCCCTCCCTCATTTCAATCGGCCACCTTCTCTTAACATTTTCCCAGAAATCCTTTCAGCCAAAGCTTGGATTTCACCTCCACGTGGAAATGTTGAGAATGAAAAAGCGCTAAGCGAAGGTGATGAGTCCGGTTGAGAGGAAAAAGAAGAAGTAAACCACAACTGGCATCATAAATATTACATAGGCCGCGCCGCATTAAACCGCTGTGATGATATTAACTGCATGAGATCGAGCTCTGAGAAACATTACGTCAGCCTCGCTGACGGAGCGGCTGTATATTTAGATCATTCCAGGCTCGGGTTGCACGCCCCCCACCGGGCCTGTGTTTGGAACGGGCCGATGGCGGGTGTCCTGATGCATCGCACGGTGTCGATCGCACGCGAGATAGCCGATTGACTCGAAACAGGTTGCGTGTTTTGTTCACAACCACGATTGCCGCTTGACTTCAGCGTCCTTGATCCTTTGTGCTGCTCAGCGGAGGAACGCGGTGACCTTCTTTGGGTCTTAAAGGGGAGGCCAGATGTTAAGAGGACAGAGGTTTCAGGTAGTCTGCGGAAATACGCCGACGATAAGGCGTCACGTGTTGTGATGGACCACAGTGAAAACACGTGCAAAATGTGATCACACGGATCAACGCAATCTGATCCGAGTACAGTTTGAAGTATTTGTTTACTACTTCTGTAAAATGCACTTTTAAGTATTTTTATTGCGTAGAAAGTACCTCAGTTGCACTTTGCTCTTGAACGTCCAGCTCCGTTCTCTGACCCCTGGACTGCCGTCAGAGATCGCTGATTGCAGGTTGTCATGGCGAGGGACAGCGAGCGCTCATTCGGCGTATTCTGGGATGTGACCGGAGTGAATTGGCCCGCGTGTTGTATGGCAGCATTCATCTGCAATCAGATATTTTAAATGCTGCGTGTCCTCTGGCTTCCCTCGCTGATGCCGGCACCGGGGAGAGGAACGCCAACGCCAACGACGGCATCGCTATCCTCTTAAAGCCGCGCCGGGAAACATTTGAATGTAAAACTTATCGGCACTCAAACACAAAGTGACGCTTTCACAGAGGAGATAAATATGACCGGGGTGGATTCTTGCTGTTGATGAAATGTTTGCACGTAGAAAGTGACAAATTGGAAACTTTTAGTCTGTTCCAATGACAACGGAACCAGTTCTTCTTCATTCCTCATTCACGACTGCTGAACTTCAACCACGCCCCAAAAGTAGTCAAGATTTACCGTTTTAGTCTTCCACCAAATAGCGATGATGAATCCTTGTTAAAAAGGTCTGAAGTAGAGCAGTAAAGTGCAAATGAACACAGGCGGGACCGGCCTGGTTTTTACGAGAGCTGTGTTCGGATTTGTCTCGGCCCGCTTGTCTGCGATGGAGCGAGATGTTGCAACAACGAGCGCGATCCAGACAAGATAAGCGATTAGGTAACGACGCACTCACTGGTCTGTCACGTTAAATTGGTTTCGATTGACGACCATCCCGCTCTGAGCAGAGACACCCGGATTCATCCTCTCAGAACCTCAGATCTGGGCAAGTTACATGGATGTTTGTTTACCCGTCTGGGTTCCTGCTGTAAAGCAAACAGAGTCACACCTGTGTTTTTTCTACTATGACTAATCAAATGTCTCCCTGTAAAAAAATGCAAAGTATGTTGCGGCTTTACATAATAATCACCTCTGAGCTGTCCTCGTGCGCTCTCCTGTTCTTTTCCAACTATGTGTGATCCCCCTCCTCCCACCTCTTGTCCCACTCGTGAACCCCAGCGTCACATGACCTTGTGTCCCAGACTGTCCTTTCTGTGTGCGCTTGCGTGTCCGTGTTCAAGTATGTCATGCAAGCCCCTTTTGTGGTCTGAGATCAGACCGGCCGACTCCTGCTGTTCCTCCTCTGCAGCCCCGGCGCGCCTGTTTGTGTGCAGTACAATGTGTGCTTTCTCTCCTGTGTAATTACATGCACACGATCATCGGCGCTGGATATCGTACAGGATGTCCTAGACTCCTCTGTGTGCAGACGTGCGTGTGTGTGTGTGTGTGTGTGTGTTTTGGAGCCCTGCTTAGTCCCGATCATTTGGCCACCGTATGCAGTGTGTAGGCTGTAAGAAGTGCTGTAATTTCTTCTTCCTGGAATTTCAGGAATTCTGAGTTTCCAGGACACAAACATACAGAAACACATGAAGACCTAATAGGCCTTGCACCCCCGCCCCAAAATGATCATTTAGAAATCTTTATGCATTGAACAACAGCGAAACTTGTGCAAAATATCTGATACAAACTCTCACTCGGCACTTGCAGTATTATTTTCCTCGTACAAAATGCATGTAATGCAAGTTGAGCAAGTTACTTAAATTCTGTATATGACCAAACTGCTGGTAAAGTAGTCCTTTAACCTAAAACAGACTTCCCACCCAGAAGGAGACTTTTTAGCTTCTGCTATGCTGAGGAAACGGTGAGTAACGAATCTGCAGTCCGAACGTTCTACTCCATTTGTCCCAGAAGGGTAATTGATTAAGTGTTAATCCTGGATGGACTTCAGTTAATTAGTAACAGGTCAGGTGCAAAGCGCGGCGCTGCCACTTGTTGACTGCGTCCTTTCGCTGGAGCGGCGTGTGGTTCCCGTCCACGGGGGACGTTTGGTTCCAGCTTCCAGTCGCTTGATAAACTGCTCGGGCCCCCGCCATCGCTCGCGTACGGCTCAGTTATTGGAAGAACTCCAAAGTGAAATCCAACACAAGGGGGAGTGAAACCTTAAGACAAGACTCTGTGTTGCCTCCGTGGTTCAGGAACTATTGCTTCTGGCAATATTTTGACGGTCGATCGTGTTAAATTACCCCCAATTAAAGGTGCTTGCCAGAATGCATTGACTCGGCATGTAGGAGTGGGACAAAACGTCAAAATGCTGAGCCGGTCTGTTTTAACAGTTAACCTTTTGTTCACCCCGACAGGAACCATTTCATAGCAATGTTTGACAAACCGGCTTCCACAGTTGACTCCTCTCTGTCTCTTAATGCAGAAATACAAGACAAGACACTTTTTAAGGAATGCAGACATTTCAATAACCAGACTTCATATTTTATTTATTTACTGAGAGAAAACATGAACGACTGCGATGGTTCTGGTTCTCTATTGGCTCCACTTGAACTGAACAGATTCATTATATTTATGATGGTGATCAGCTGCTTTTGGACGTTTAAAAAAAAAAAAATCTCCGCCACCGTCGCCCACCGAGGACCGTCCCACAGCTTGTCGCTCACCACCTTCTTCCTTCCCTTCTCCCTCCCTTTCCTTCTCCCTCCCTTCCCCTTCTCCGCCTCTCGCATCCCGTCGACCCCCCGCAGAGGACGACGTGGATCTGGAGCAGCTGGTGAACGACATGAACTCCTCCATGGAGAGCGTGTACTCTACACAGGCCGACACGGCGCGGCTCCTGAACAACGGCCACGCGGCGGCGCCTCACCAGCACCACCAGCAGCAGCAGCAGCACCACCCGGGACACGGCCAGGCCCACCGCCGTCACACCCCGCCTCTGCTCCCTTCCCCGCCCTCCAGGGACAGGCCGCGGCCGTCTCAGCCGATGCACATCCACGCCGTCAGGTAGACGCACGCAACCCGCCATCACAATTTTTTTTTCGTTTTTTTTTTTTTTACTTCAGAAGCTTTGAATGCAATTTTGTTTTTGCAGCCCGGATGCTTCCATCTGTTGCTTTTACTCGCCAGCATTTAAGGACGGGGCGAAGATTGCACGCAATGATTGCTGGAAATCTAGCTGGAAAATGTAAACAAACACTGTTTAGAACCCACATTGACCACAAATGTGGGATTAATCAGCTTCCGAAAATGTTCATATTGTTTTGTTTTTAATTATTTCAGGTCTGTTCTGCCACAGCTCAGTTAGTTATTTTATGTCACCGGCAATCACTCTGCAGCTAATCCATTTCAGCCTTTACTTTACAGCCTTTTTACCTTTTCTTTGCCCCACACTGATTTATTATGGTGGTTCTTCTCGTCGATCACCGGCCTCAACATCAGTGTGTGTGTCTCCCTCTGCAGGTGTCTGCAGAAGAAGCATCTTCTGCGTCCGGCCTCCCTGCCTGCCATCCCCAACCCTTTCCCCGAGCTCTGCAGCCCGGACGGCTCCCCCGTTCTCTGCCCCCTGCAGACCTCCAACGACCACGTAAGCCCCCCCCCCTCCACCCCCCGCACCACCTCTCCTCCACCCTTTCACGTACGCTTTTTTTTTTTTTTTTTTGTTACCGGTTGCCGCTACGGTTGCGGTTGACGTCCTTTGCTTGACCACAATCACAAGGGAGGATTTGTGCGTGTGTGTGTGTTTGGAAAGCAGCTGACTGGCCTGTTATGTTCCAGTCGGAGCGCCATGTGTTGACTTTGGCTGCGGACGGCCTTTTCTTTCCATTACACAACCGCTCACCCTGGGTTATCTGACCGTGTGTGTTATTGTGGAAGCGTCATTATCAATCACACACACACACACACACACACGCGTGGTGACAGCCGTGTTTTGCTGCGGACGGAGGTGAGCGATGTCTCCAGGATGCTGCAGACTTCCGCAGCGGAGCTGGGAAAGCGGCTGGGAACGTCTGCAGGTCGGAGCTCTGTGAACCTCCCGAATCCGCCCCGAGGCGCAAGACAGGCGCCCGTTTCCGGTTCACACGCCTCAACCTTGGCTCTTCACGTCACTGCGCGTGTGTCCGTGTGTGTTTGTGTGTGCGGGAGTGTGTCGTTGGCCCTGCCCTTCCCCCCCCCCCCCCGCCGGTGCAGCGTCCTGTCTCAGGAATTTTCCATCCCTCTCAAAAGAAGTTTGCAGGATGCCCACCCCGAACAATAAAGGTTATTTCAGATGCTTCCACTTTCTTGTGCTCTCAACGACACACTCACACACGCACATTTGATAAGGCCAAGCGTCATTTATGCATTTTGTTGACATCGTCTCACAAGGTCTGGAGTCAGAGAGCAAGTTTGCCGGTTGCACAAAGGATCTTTTGTACGTGTTTGAGCTGAACAGATGCTGCATCGTGTCTTTTTCTCAGGACGTCCTCATTTCGTTCGGTTTTTACTCATTTAACTCTTCTTGTGAATCTGAACCATCTGAATCGTTGTAAAGGCAGCTTGGTGTTGTCTTTTTGCTGCTTTGCTTGCGCTTCGTCTCTGTATCTGACATCGGTGAGTCATTTATTTTTCATGACAGGTCACCAGGTTCCCGTAGGCAGGAATTTCCTCAAGAATGCTTCACCGTGCCACAAAAACAGGAAGATTGTCTTATTCCTGCAGCTCCGACTGCTTGTGCCGGAAAGCACACGGAAAAATCACCTCCAACATTCCATCGTGTTTATCATCGTCCGCTAAAGAGAAAAACCTTTTGACCGAGGAGGAGGAGGCTGATTCATGAGTGCCTAAACGTGAGCGGATCATAGGAAACAAAAAACACTGCAATTCATCAGTTCACGAGCAATAATTGATCAGAAATTGACACATTGATGGGTAACTTATGTAGTTTTCAACCGGCACACTATCTTTCACACATCTCTTTAAACTCGGTCCGGTATTGAGTCGAAATGCTGCACGCAGCGGACGTTAAACGGGCGGCAACGTCACCACATCGGGTTCTATTTGATGCCGTCATTTACCCCCCCGTGGTGCTTCCCACCCCGCCGGGCATCGGCACGTCGGCCCTTTTGAGCACGTTAGCGTGCTGTTGTTAGCATTCAGCGCAGAGCCCCGCTTTCCTTTGCCTCACACGGCTGCCAGCACGCCGCTCGGTGGCCTCCTTTCGGGTAGGAGCGCCGCGCGTGTGAAACCTTCACGTACTTCAACCCTGATGACGATGGCGCGGCTGTGCTTCGGCCTCCTGCTTTTGTACAGCGCACACGTCTCGTGCGTGACGTGGAAGCTTTACGGCTGGAATTTGCTATGTTTGGTAGTTGCAAGGGTTCGTCCTCGGGGGTGCCATGACGGCGACCGTTACATGAGCGTCAGTAGTCTGATCGTAAGGCGATGCTGACTGCCGTTTCCCACGCAAGTTATGGCGTATTACACCACACAGTTTAGTCATCTCCCCTCGGCTTTCACAAGAATTTGGTCATGCTCTGACTTGGCGTCACGACGGCGGCCGTAACGCAACTCCTGCTTTTATTTGTGGCCAGAGACGCGGCGTTACGAACATCTGGGAGGCCCAGCGGTTAACGAGCGGAGAACTCGGGGTTCACGCCCCCCTCCGACCCCCCCCCCGTGCTGGCAAGCACCCACTCTGCTGCAGCGGCCTTGAGCAAGACACTGGATGTGTTCCAGCTCAGGGTACGGCGCTCGTAGACGGACGCTGACCCCTGACCTCCCCTGTGGAAAACGGCAAGAGGAAAAAAAAATGGGATGTCAAAGAGTCAGTTTCCCATGGTTTGTTTTTTATTGTTTTCTGATTATTTCAATATTTGGTGTTTGCGAAATTGTGTTTTTAGCCTTGCCAGCAGTGTCTCGGAATGGCAACGTTGGTCGATTTGGTCGGCCCAGCGCTTTGATCCAGTTGTTGGCCAAACACCACGAGATTTTTCAAAGCCTCTCACAGTCCCCAGAGGAGGAACACGACTTGTTAGTGTCAGTAATTCACTGTTCCGTGTGTGTGTGTGTGTGTGTGTGTGTGTGTGTGCGCTGTAGCTGTGTCATGAAAAGTAATTCTACACCAGAGCTCTGAGTCACACACTCCCCGTTTAGGACTCGTACCTCCCCCTCTGTCTGTGGTCAGCTGATGAACTTCTGCACGCAACGGTCTGCTGACCCACTGCAATCAGATCAGGTGTACGTACACGTGTGTGTGTGTGTGTGTTTGTGTCATGAAGACGTTCATGCAGTCGATGTTTGACGTGTCGGGTGATGACTGGTGATGACTCGATACCGTCATTTTGCAGCAAACTGTGTTAATTTTCCCACGCAAATACACACACACACACACACACACGTAAGCTTGCATGCGCTGTCTGAGGACTACATGCGTTATTACGGGCAAACTAGCGTCATGCTGCATTAACGTATTGCCATGGAAACCGTAGAGCTGATAGTATAAGGAACCTCAGTTATCATCGTGTTTTATGGTCATTTCTTCCAGTTGGCAGAAGTTGCATTTTGAATGAAGCGGTTTTTAGGAACCATTTTTTTGAAAAGATTTGTTTCTAATTCCTGAAAAGAGGGAGTTTGACTCGACTAAGATCAATGATGTCTTGTGTGTCATTGTGATCAACTATTGTCTATTATTACTACTTACTATTTTAAATTATTATTAGTTTTATTGGATCGATATCACCAACACTTACACACAGTGGACGTCTATCAGTCAGTGGAGGCTGTGTGTGTGTGTGTGTGTGTGTGTGTGTGTGTGTGTGTGTGTGTGTGTGTGTGTGTGTGTGTGTGTGTGTGTAGGTGGGGAGGTGAGCCACTCGGTGAGTCCTTGTGGTGGCGCTCCGATGGGGTGAGTTGAGTCTGGCTTGAAACCCGACCACTCGCACACGAGAAAGACGGCTGAATGAAATGTAATGAAAGTCCCAACCACCATTCAGATGCCGACATCAGTAGAAGAATCAGAATTGGGTTTATTAATAATTAGCCTTTTCATATACGGGGACTCTGCTTTTGTGTTTGGTGCATACGACACACAACAGCTATCGCGCACAACACGTTGAGGCAGAGTTTCCTCTGCCGATGTAACAACTGAAGAAATGTGCAATTCAAAATATATATATATAAAAAAAAGTTTTTGCTCTTAAAAAACTGAATATAGAATCAAAATACTGCATGCGATATTTAAAAGATATAGAACACTATGAATAATATGTATTATAACTGTGCTTATGCTACATGCTATTTCACAATAGAAGCTACATCAACACGTTTTTAAATTAACAATTTAAAACAACAACAACAACAAAAAAATCACACGGCATCACATAATGGCCTTTCGTGTGACCTTCAGACCCGGCAACTGTTCCCGTGGTAACTCCACATCAACGTGTAGTTTGTAGATTGGGTTCTTTGGGTCTAGTTGATGTGATTTAGTGGGCGAGTGCATCGAAACAGCAGCGTTCCGACGGGGCGCCGGGGGCCTGCAGCGCGTTCCTCAGCATAAACTGTCCTGGCAGACTTAAGATAGTTAAGTGTATGTGTGTGTGTATTCGTTGTGTGTTTGTGCACAGCCTGATAGGTTTAGGGGCCCATAAACCTCTTGGTCAAGTGGGCCTGACCCTGGTGCAGATTATTGTGTTCGACCTCTCACCCCTTATGTACCGTGTGTGTGTGTGTGTGTGTGTCTTTGTTAACAGGCATGCAGGTGTCTGCCCATGACCCTTCAATCCAATATACCGTGACCACAAGCCCCGCCTTACCTCTGCGTGTGTGCGTGTGTGTGTGTGTGTGTGTTATAAGCAGCATAGGGGACCAATAACCCCCCTCACACACCTCTGGTGGGGAGAAAAGGGCGGATGTGGGGGAGGGTAAAGCAGAAGGGGGAGGACCAAGCCACGGTGAGTTAAATTTCCTCTTGTAAAGATAAAACCCGGCTAAAAGAAAGAAGGATTATATAGTACAGCAATAGTCAGAGGATGTCTAGAAGTCAAAGAAGAAGTTCATGAAAGGGAGGGACCTTCGGGAGAAGAAAGGTGGAGCTCGTCGACGCTTCCGGCGCTCAGTGGGAGCCCGCCGGCGCACGGCTCCCCAGATGGGGGCCAAACCTTTGCGTGAGACGGGACGAAATAACCCGAGCAGTAAAGTCAAAGAAAGAAAAGGGAGAAGAAAAAAACTGCCCGCTCTGTTTGTCATAGTTCACATTGTGTCTTTTGAGAATGTGTGTGTGTGTGTGTGTGTGTGTGTGTGGCTCACGGTTCCCATGCACACTGTATTAGGGGCCAGCTGGGTTGGCCTGTGCCCTACACATGAGCCTTATTATGACTCAGTATTGCATTACTTGCATTCCTCCCTTTCTCTATTCCTCTCCCTCCCTCCCTTCGTTCTCTCTCTCTCGCTCTCCCTCTCCCCCTCCCTCCCTCCCTCCCCCTCGGCCAGGTAGATTTGCTGAGCAACCTTCCGCTACTCGAATCACCCCACCGCTTTCTTTCGAGTGTGTATCTCGCAGCCGTCAGTGTGTGTTACACATGTTGCTCCGGTCCCAACACTCCGGCATGGTATTTCACACAGGGAGGGGGAGGAGGTGGGGGTGGAGGGGGAGGAGGATGAGGAGGATAAGAGGAAGGGGGTAGAAATTAAAACCGTCAGGCAGCTCAGATTAAATGTCAGTAGATGCATAAGAATAAGGCAAGTGTGTGTGTGTGTGTGTGTGTGTGTGTTCAGCGATTGGCTGCAGTAGTTTGAGCTAGTTTCCCTCCATCTGTGTGTGTGTGTGTGTGTGTGTGTGTGTGTGTGGGAGGGGGGGTGGTGGTGTTTCTTTCGGTGCGGCGCCATTGGTAAAAGGAGCTGACGGAGGTCTTTTTTTGGACGGGGATGAGGGGATTTGAACGCCGCCCTGAACATAAGCGCGTCGAGGACGTGACAGGTAGCAGCTCACCGTTTGAAAAATCCCACACTGGGTTAATCCAGTGTGAGGGGGAGGCGGGGGGAGGAGGCGGGGGGAGGCGGGAGGAGAGGAACGGGTGGCTCACACAAACTCCTCGCCGCTCAGCCTTCATGCCGCCCAGCAGCAGGCTTCTCTCTCTCCTTCCTTCCTCTGTCACTTCCTCCCTCCCCCCTTCCTCCCTCTTACCTCGCATGCATTCTCCCTGCCAATCTGTCCCTCCCTCCCTCCCTCTCTTCCTGACTTCCTTCCCCCCTCCTCCTCCTCTCCCTCCCTCCCTCCCTCTCTCCCTCTGTCTCTGTATCACTGGAGAGCGTCTCAGTGTGAAAATGCCATCCTGCTCTCCAGACTGTTGCCTCTTTCAGGCTGTGGAGGTAAG